CAAAACTTTGGTCGCAATAAAACAAGAAAAAGCAGTGAATCTCATTTACATGCAAGATCAAAGCACTTGAAGTGTGTGTCCAATAGATATGCTTCACCGTAAAAAGGTGAAATAGAAGGTTCGGAAGAGAAAATTCACGACATGAAAACCACTGTCGGAAAGAATGCACGATAGAATGGCGAAGAAAGATAAGNAAAGATAAGGAAATGCAAGGTAATTAAAAGACATTTTCAGTCTTTTTGACTGTTACAAGCAGTCCATAATAAAGTTAGGAAAAATCGTTCATCGCATGCGCCAAGTGAATTTGTCCATATTCAGTATAGTCGACCAAAAACTCTTTCAATGCTTATTCTTTAGAGGAGCGTCTTGGGCTCTAAAAAAGAACAGACTCGTGAAAAAAGCACAAAAAACCGCATGAGACAGATGCTTTAACTACGCGGAACAGTAGGAACATAAAAAAGAAAATGGTGTTTATTTGTGTTTTCAGTTATGTGAATTTTTCGTTTTCACCGATTTTCAAATTTTTTTTGAGGTTTTCAAAACGCGTTAGGGCGTCAAAAAAGGCGAAAAGGTAATGGAAAACGCGCATGAACCGCCTGTTCAGTATTCAATGTATTGAGAAGGAAAATTAACTCTACGACCTGACTTGGTAGATGTGCTAGTTCATAGGGCAGAGCTTAAGGTTAAGTCCGCTGGGAGTGCTGTCACCGGAGGAGGGACAGAAGAAGAGGTGAGTACATGTGCAGGAGATTCACAGGAGAGTAAGAGTGAAGAAACGAAAGGGGGATCGAGATAAGCAGGTTTCAATCGATCCAGGGAAACGCTATCCCTTTCACCATTGCGATCAATAATGAAGAATTTGGATTCACGACGGACCACTTTAAAGAGACCGTCGTAAGGTGGGTGAAGAGGTTTGCAAACACCATTGAATCAAACCCAGACATGAGTGCAGTTGGCCAGATCCTTATGAACAAACACTCGTCGTGACCGCGGACGCGTGTGAGTGGGTTTCAGTTTTCCCGTATGGAACCGGAAGCGTGAGACATAGTTGTCTATGTCTGTAAACTTCTCTTGCGCGATGGGAGAAATACAGTCTCCATGTAGGCGCAAATTGGTTCCAAAAACAAACTCGGCTGCAGTGCAGATTTCGGAGCAAAAGTCAGAGATTTTTGATTGGTGAAAATAGTAATTTCACGTCCTTCAAGGACGTGTCGGAAGTGACGTACGGCAAGATATATAGATAACAGCTCACGGGCAAAAGTGCTACAGCGCTGTGCGGCTTCCGAGAACCGACGATGAAAGAAGCCTAAAGGTTGTCACTCATTATCAATGAGTTTTTAAAGGACGGCACCTG